TCGCCACCCACAGGTTAAGAACCGCTGCCCTACAGGAACAAGAAACCATCTCGGTTTTCTTTAGGACCATGTGACTTCGCAGCCCCTTCAGAACACCTGGCTCACTTTTTGATAGCCTTCAAGAGTTCATCTCCTTCTCCAGGAAGTCTTCCCTGATGCTCATAGCTAGCTAAGCTGCCCCCTCCTCACCTCAGTGTTATCGTTATGCCCCAGGAAAACTACTGTACCACAGTATTTAGCACACCTGTTATCCTGTTGGCCCTACCATCAAGCATATCACAAATCCAGCCCAGGTAACCTCTGCTCCCCGCTCTGGACCCTTACAGTATAGTCTTAACAAAGGAGCTAGTGATCCTCTTAGAATAAATTGATATAACTTCTCTCAAAACCTTCCTGATGTTTCGCATATCAGATTAGAACCCAAAGTCCTCAGCTCTCCCTTAAAGCACTCTGGCTCATTACCGTTCTCCTCCTTCACGGCTCCATGAAGTCACATAGCCCTTCAGTTGTTCACCACCACCCCCCCAACACACTCTTGCCTCAGGGCCTTTGCATTGGCCAGGACCAATGCCTAGAACCTTCTGATCCCTCCCAACTCCCTCACTTTATAATCTCATTTGATCCTCATCAAAACCCTGAGAGGTACAATTACTGCCCTCATTTTGCAGATGAGACAGCAGGCCTGGAGAGACCGACTCCCTCCGGGCCTTCCCTGACAGCCCTACATGCAGAACACCTGCAACTCTCTGCTCTAGCCCCACTCCACTTTATGTTCCTTCCAAGCATTCTACCGGGTTGTCGGCAAAGTCATGATGCATTTTTGCAACAAAAAACAGAAAAATACATCATAACTTTTCCAACAACCCAATATGTATTTGTATTGTTTATTGTGTTTCCCCTCCGGAATGTAAGTGCATGTATTTTGTGCACTCTTGTGCCTTGACAACAGCACTGGCTAAGGGAACAGGCACTCAAGGATTTCTTTAAACAATGAACAAATGCTTCCATTTCTCTCTTGCCCCCCAAACTGAGTTCCTTGGGTGTGGAGCCAGCATCTCACTCATCTTTGTGGGCCCTGAGTTAAATGCTCAATAGATGTTTGTTGATAAAATCAGAAGGAAAACNAAATACTGAAAGGAAGACATTTTGATGACATTCAGGACATCAAGGGTAATATGATGACAGCTCTGATGGCCATTCCAGAAAAAGAGTTCCAAAATGACTTTGAAGGGTGGACTAGGCACTGGCATTGGTGCATAGCTTCCCAAGGGGGAGTACTTCGAAGGTGACTGTAGTGATATTCAGCAATGAGGTATGTAGCACTTTTTCCTAAGATGAGTTCGCGGACTTAATTGTCCGACGTATATAGATAGATAGAAAGATATCCTATCGGTCCTGTTTCTCTGGAGAATCCAGACTAATGCACCATCTTTTAAACATCAGGGTGCAAAATATAAAATCTCTCTCAGCACCATGAGGGAAGACAGGATAAGGAAAGTTTCAAGGGAGACATGAATTTCTTACCAGCTCTCAAACAGAAAATTCAATCCTTCACCTCAAAGACAAGCAGCTCCAGCTCCAGCGTGTCCCCCTACCTGTGTCCCGGCTCTTCTGGAATAGCCTACGACATTGCCTTCCTTGTCCATGACCTCAATCCCTCGTGTGGACTCCAAACTTCGGGATGCAACAACATTCATTCCACTGACTTGGGCTGTGGATGTAAAGAAGAGAACACAGCAGGGATAAGTTTCGATCCAGTGAAAGAACACCTTTTGTGGAGTCAAGACTTCCTCTGATGGCTACGCTTCCCCAGTCCTCAGTGGGCACCTGACATGTGCTGGGCCAATCAAGCTCTCTCCTGGGGCTGTGGAGCTGGGGTGAGAACTGTCCTGATTACAACCCAGCACCAGGTTCCAGCACCCCTGAAAGTCCAGCCTGACTCCCTGACAGGGTTCCAGGAGCAACTCCGGGACCCTTGAACTATATCCCCTGCTTCTTTGCTCAAGCTGGTTTGACCAGGTTTCTGTAACATAATTTCCCACATCTTACCACTGACATGCTGCCAACTCTTCAACGTGCTATGATTCCCAAACCCAAATTTGGAGCGGGAACTAGTGAACTTGCAGGCTGGCAAACTTAAAACGGTTGGTTAATGTGTCTGTCACTCCCTTGGAGTCAGGCCGCCCAGCTGGAATCCCCTATACCACTACTTCTTCCCTGTGTGACCCCAGGAAAGTTACTTAATCTCCCTCCACCTCAGTGTCCTCATCCATAAATGGGAATAATAATATTAACTACCCATAAATTGCTGTCAGGATGAAGTGAAATAATACACATGGAGGGCATGTACGGGTGCTCTTTAAAATGCAATTTGTGTTTCCAGGTTTGTGTTCATCTTTTGACAACTAACGGGGTATCTACAGGGAAAGTATCACAATTCAAAGCAAAGATCTAATTTGGGCCTGGGGACACCAGCCAGCTACAAATGGTGGCTGTCTTTAGCCACACTGTGGCCAAAGGACCTGGGTGTCCCTGAAGATGCAGGAAAGGCTCAAAGACCACAAAGATGGCATGCTTTCTGCTTACCAAGAATAATAACAGGCAACGTTCTTCTTATGAAAATGTTTTTCAGTTCGAACTTTATTTGGAGTAAATGAGGGAATAACTGGAAAATAAGAGAAAAATCATTATTGCATGGGGCAGAAAAAATTAGCTGAATGTACTCGACAGCAGAGACCTCATTCCCGTTACAGGTGAGACTGCTGCCAGTGCTTTCCGTGAGTTTTTNGGTGCCAGCCTAGTCACCTGAAAGCAACCACACCCAGCCTTGAACCAGGCTCACCCAGGCACAGCTGGGCACCAGGCACTCACAACATACCGTTTCGTCCTCCAAGTCATGAACAGATGCACCTTCATTTAACAACAGTTGCCTTGATTTTTCTATTTTCTCCTATAATCAAATACAAAGAAATCAAGCCATGAGCTCATCGCTGTTCAGATTTATCCACAGATATAGAGAGCACATGGTCATCACACCTGATTTCAACGTGACATGGAGCCAAGGCTCTCTGCTCCCTGCGAGTTTCCATTAGGATAGTCCTGCGTGTCATTCCGATTCAGACTGCCCAGCCTCCAGCCAGCTCCAGCAGCTGACCCCACTGGTGCTGCCATTACCCACCCCCACCCCCTGCATTCTTCTCTGATGTCAACTGTCTCAGTGAACAACGCCCCCATCCACCTGGCTGTGCAAGTCGGAAACCTGGAAGTCCCGCCTCTCTCACTCACCCCCACATCTAATCAGTTCAGTCTTATTTCCTCTTTCACTTTATTTAAGGGAAGAAATTAAATACAGAAAAGACAAACATGGCTGCATACTCATAATCCCCTCATCCAGAATAACTGTAAACGTTCAGTTATATTTGCTTCTTTTTTTTCCCAAAAGAGCCACCACCTCCCCTCTCATTTCCCTCCCCTGTGACTCCCTGGTGGTCTAGTGGTTAGGATTTCCCTCCCCATTCTAGCAGAAGTAACCGCTATTATGAGTTCAAGGTATAAACTTCCAGTCCATTATTTTATACTTATACACACATGAATACATGTATCCATAAACAAATATGCAGTATTGGTGTTTTATGTTGTAATTTGCACAAATATTGTATTTATGCATCTTGCTTTTCCATTACACATCACAGATATGTTTTTCCATTTTACACCATATACTGAGGGTGCCAAAAAATGTATACACATTTTAAGAGATGTTATCTATGTATTACTTTTTGAAGTTGAATTGAATTACAGTAGCAATGCGTAGTAGGATGTTTGCTCAAAAAATTGCGTTAACCAAATGAATGCTGGCATCACCATGCTACAGGCAGGACCGTCAAAGAAAATGGCAGAAGCACAGTTGTTGTTTCAGGAGTGCAAGACCATTTTGAAGTGGTATTTAAAATTCGAGTTCATTGTGGAAGTATAACGACAATGTGAGGCATGAGTATGAACAGAACCTCCAACTTAACACTGCTTGACTTCTCCCCATGGGGGACCTTAAAGGGTATGGTGTACCATAGAAAACTGGCTACACTGGCGGTACTCTGGGAAGAAATTGAAACGGCATGTGCAGTGATACAAGTGGACACTCTCTCTGGTCAACGTTGCTCAAGCAATAGTTTGCCGTAATCAGAAGTGTCTGGACGCTGATGGTAACCGCTTTGAGCACCTCTTGTGATTGCAGAAGTCAAAGGTGACTTGTATTCATCTTTTGTTATTGGTATATACTGGGTATTACAATTTTAATACAGTTTTTTCCTTTCTTAAAATGTGTATATGTTTTTTGGCACCCTCTGTATATTGTGTGTTTCTACTTAATATTATGTTGCTAACTATATCATCACTTTTAGCAGCTAATCAATATTCCACAGTATGAATATACCATATTATATTTCTCTACCGATGGGCATTCAGGTTATTTTTTGTTTTTCTCCATTATACACAAGGCTGAATGAAACATCTTGAGCACAAGGATGGGAGTGTCCCTTTGCGTCTGGCCCTAAAGGGTCATTGCTGGTGACAGGACATTTCCTCTTCATTCCTCAGTCACACCTAGTTCAAACCCTCATCTTTCACTTGGAAGCAGAGCCATCCCTTGCACAGATCAACTCGCTTACAGTCTGGTTCCTTCTGGTCATTCACTACACTATGACCCTGTGAAACACAAACCTTGCCCTATAGGCTAAGCGCAAACTCCTTTCCTCTGAATGACACACAAGGCCCTTCCTGGTTCCCTGTGTGAAAAGCCCCAGTGACTGGACGACCTGCTCTCCTTCCCTGGGCTTTGCTTACAGTCCCTTCTCCCGCTCAGCCTTCCCTCAACACCCTCCCTGAATTCCCTGCTCTACCCCACCCTTAGATCCCTAGAGGGAGGTCTGTGACGAGCATTGCCAGTCTGTCCTCATTAGCAGGGGCGTTTGTTTTGATCCCCTCTGAACCACCAGCTCCCGGTCCAGGGTTTGGTATTAACTGTTAGATGGATGTCCACTTTTATGTATCACCCTTCCAATCTAACAAGCTCATTGAGAAGGAACAAAAACATGAAAATATATGTGGATTCTGTTATTTCAACTGCTTTCAGAAGGGATGCAGCCTTCACATTTCAGGATAAAGTGTGGAATTCATTATATCTGAAAACAAGAAAATACTTACAATTGAAATGACCAAATTTGTAGGATCCAATAACTCTGTCCACTGAAGAAATCTCTGAATAAAAGACTTAAGTGGGGGAAATTACCAGAGAGGTTAATGGCAGCAGAACAAAGATATATGGTAATAATAATGATTAACATTATTTTTGAGAACCTAATAGGGCTGTTTACCTGCAGCATCTCCTGGAATGCTCACAACATCCCCATCCCACAGGTAAGGAAACCGAGGTTTAGAAGGGCTTATGAATGTCAAGGGAGCCCAGCCAGGAAAAGACTCAGTGGCCTGTGCTCTTAACCATTCCAATATCAGATTGCTCTTCAGGATTAAAACCCCAGGCTTTCGGTCAAATGGGCCTATGTTCACATCCCACATATGACCTTGGACCAACTACCTAGAAAGGTCTCAGAATCTGTTTCTTCACCCTGTTAGGGTTGTTGTAAGGCTTAACTCGAGTCATAAAAAGCCGACACCCCAGTGAGGCCTCAGTAAAGGCAGCTGGGTTGACATGTGGAGAAAGGAAGCATGGTTTGCTCCAAAAAGCCCCAAAACTTTGCAGTGGTTCC